ACCTGCTGAGCTTTTCCAGCAACTTTGTTTTTGTTCCATGTTAATGGGTGGAATGTTTATACTGCTGAATTTATGCCAGACTAGAGACAATTAGATTAGCCTGGACTTCAGTTCAAAAGAATCAGGAATTCAGATCAGAAAGGAGAACAGGTTCCTCCTAGCAGGACGATCAAGCTTTTAGTTCAGGGGAACCAATATTACTGGCAGAACCAATTTTTAAAAAATCTGTTGAGGACCTAGCTTGTGGCAGCATATACAACTGTTCGAGCTATCTAAAGTGAAGGGAGGTTTAGACCATCAACATTGTTAACAAAGATTCATACCAGCAGACAGAGAAAGGAATTGTATAACTGCCTCAGCAGTTCAAGCAAAAGAAACTAGGAAGAATCAGTTAAATAATTAATTAACAAGTTGAGATAGGAGTGATATTTCTCCAAAATTGAGTATTTGTAAAAAGATAAGCTTGGAAAATAAGTTGAACCTTGATTTTAAAAACCGAAAGAACTGGGGATGCTATAAATTAGGAACAAAAACAAAGTTCCTGGAAAATCCCAGCAGGTCTGGCAGCATCTGTGAAGGAAAAAACAGAGTTAACGTTTTGGACCCGGTGACCCTTCCTTCAGAACTGTTCTGAGGAACAGTCACCGGACCTGAAATGTTAACTCTGTTTTTGAACCTTGATTTTGCTGTTTGTGTTAAGATCCTAATAACTGTGTTCTATATAAAACTTTTTGTTTCTTGTGTAGTAAACTTTATGTTTTGCTATTGAAGAATATTTGCAGCCTCATGTGAATATGTTTTAAAGACTAACCACCATGGTAACCAACTTCAAAATTTAAAAGTGTGATCTAACAAGGTTCATTCAGGGATTTGACATTTCTAGTAGTGCAATCAGCTGGGCTCACAATGCTACATTCTGAAGGGGATTCAAAGCAGATGTAGAAAAGATGTTTCGTTATGTGGGTCAATCTAGAATGAGAGGTCATAGTTTTAGGATAACGGGTAACAGAATAAAAACAGAGATGAGGGGAAATTACTTCTCTCAAAACACCGCAAATTTGTGGAATTCACTACCCCACAGTGCAGTGGACACTGAGAAATTGAGTAAATTGAGGGGACAAACAGATTTTTAACTAACAAAGGGTTGAATTGTTACGGACAGCAAGCAGGAAAGTGGAGTCGAGCCAAGGTGAGATCAGTCATTATCGTCTCAAATGGCGGAACAGGCTTAAGAAGCTGAATTGCCCAATCCTGCTCCTAGTTCTTATGCTTTTGTAAGAAGTTCTAACTGATGAACAACAGAAAGCACTTACACAACAGATACTAGGAACTGTACAAGTGTGATAAGTTGAGTTTTAAAGGCATGCTGTCTGGTAGGAATAACTTACATTGGAAGAAGGTTTGAATTACTGGGATGACAAGTTGCCATTTCAAGTGAGAAGGTGGATAGCTCTTCATGTAAAATCATTTTTCATTATTTTGTTTTACCATAGATATACTTTCCCCGCAAAAAAAAAGACTGATGTCATGTTCAATACACACTTAGAGTATACTCGTACTATACTAAACTCATTTTGTCAGATCTTTAAAAATTAATTATTCACACCTGTAGACAACACTTGGAATCCTCTTCCATGATCTGAAGTTTCCAACACTCTCAAGCTCTTTATCAGTTAACCAAGCTGGTACAAGTAACTGTTGTGGGTAACTGGCACACAATCTGCATTTCAAGACATTTCATTTTAAAAGCAGTGGCAAAGAACGTAAAAAAGAATACATGAAAAGAAATAAGCATCACATATATAACACCTTAGAATATAACCGAAACATATTTTAGCTCACAAACTTGCTGCTTGTGAGGAACATGGAAGTAAAGTTCATGAAGAATTTGCAAAGGAAACTGGACAGGGACTTGTAAAAAATTAATTTTCCACGCCATAGGGCTAGCAGCATGGGAATGGAACTTACTGGTATGATGTACAAAAACACTACATGGACTTGACTAGCTAAATATGATTCTGACAATTGCAGACACTTAAAAAGCTACTTACAGTTTAGTAATAGAACATAACATATTTGACACCCATTCAAATATACAAATATTAATGCTTAATCAATATTTTTAATATTTTAACCATACAAAAAGTTCAAGAAAATAAAAAAGAGAGTAAGCATTAGTTTTTGTACCTTAGCTTCCATCAACTCATGAAACAGATGCTATAATTTTGGACTTGGAACAGATGAGAATGTTTTGAATACAATCTGAATGAACATCAACCTACTTAATTGCAGATATTCAAATATTAGTGAAAAAGGCTCCAGTCATCCTTTTTTAGAATAACATTGGAAAAATGCATTTTGGCAAAAAGTATGTTTTGCTACTTCAATAACTATTTACCTCCCCCACTAACATTAATTATTCTAATATTTATTAAACAGATCACATTTTTGTATTCTCTTCAGGGAAGTGGTTAAATTAATAAAGGATTCACCTTTATTTAAACTAGATGGTAATTTTGGAACCCAAATATAATTTAAGAAAATGTTCTCATGCTGCACAAGAAAAGCCAACACCAACTAACTTTGCGGAGAAAGCTATTCTGACAGAACAACAATGGAAAACCTATTCATATTTTTAATAACTTGCTGTAACGGGACCAAATAATTGAACCAAATTAGTTAGCACTAAAGGCTAGAAGATTAAAGATTCAGCAATAAAAAACAATTACAAAAGTAACAATATAATATTTCTTACTTGTATTTGTCATTGATATTGGTAATCCTCCATGCATTTTGCATATCAAAGCACATTCTTTCGACCTCATTTTTAAATCGTGAAACAACATGCTCACCTAGAGAAGAACAACGGTGAGACTACAGAAATCAACAATTCAAGTGGCTTCTCCTTTTCTGGCTTTACATGTCATCAGTAACTTTCCCAATTACACAAAACATCTGAATCACAGGACTTTAGCATAAATTATTTACTGAATTTCTACTGTGAAGAATATATAATTATGATTGCAAGATTAGCTATGACAATTAGGTTGAAAAATAAAACTTACACAACTTTCTCCCATCTATTTATTTGGCTTAGAGTGCAATACAGTTTCAAATGCTTCAGTTACTTCAGTGATACTTCACTCAAATGGCTATGCTGCACGTAAATACTTTGACAGTAGTGATGAAGGTTATTTGCTTATTGGGTATCACAGTCAAATTATGCATGAAATCTGTGTAGCAAGGATCTCTGGACAGGGATCAAATGCAGGGACCTTTGTTGATCTTCCCTTCCCTAGCCTAGGAGCATTGAGATCAACTTCAGCACCTACAAGACTATAAAATGGAGGAGCAGAAGTACGCCAGTCAGCCCACTGAGTCTACTCAGCAATTTAAATGACAGCATTGCTGATTTCACAATCCTCAACTCTAATTTCAAGTCTTATCCCCATAAACCTCGACTCCCTCACTAATTGAAATTCTTCCTTATCTCAGCTCTAACTGGGCAACCCATTATTCTGAGCTTATGCCCTCCGGTCCTAGATTCTCCCAAGAGGGGAATGGCCTCAATCCTATTAAGCAGACTAAGAAACTTGCATGGTTCAATAAGGTCACCTCTCATTTTCTAAACTCCAATGAGTGCAGGCCCAGTCTATTCAAATTCTTCAAAGAAAATCCCTCCATATTCAGGATCAACTTAGCAAACCTTCTCTGGACTTGACTCCAATGCTACTTCATCTTTCCTTAGATAAAGGGACCAAAACTGTTCACAGTATTCTACGTGTGGTCTGACTAGTGCCTTGTATAGTTTCAGCAAGACTTTCATATTTTTGTATTCCATTCTCTTTGAAATAAAGGACAACATTCCATCTGCATGCCCTATTATGTACCAAACAATTAGTGTACGAGGACTGCTAAATCCCTTTGCGCAGCAGTTTCCTGCAGTCTTTCTTCATTTAAATAATATTCAGCTCGTGTATTCGTCTTGCTAAAGTACATTTTCCTACATTACATACCATCTGACAAGTTTTTGCTCAGTCACTTAACCTGTCTCTATCCCTCCGTAGAATCTGTCATTGTCACTACTGCCAATGACAGATGTTAAGCTAATTGGTCTATAGGTACTTGCTTTTTGTATCCCTCCCTTTTTGTAAAGAGCACTACATTGGCGCTTTTCCAATCCTCCACAGTACGAAGCTTCTTGGAAGATTAATGCCAATGCATCCACTGTCTCTGTAGCTAGTTCCTTTAAAGTAGGATGCAATCCATGATGTCCTGGGAACTTAATGGCCTTCTGCTTCATTAATTGAGTACTTTTTCCCTAGTGATACTTACTGTATTTATTCCTCCTCACCCCATCCCACTTCAGCCTCTAGACTATTTAGTATTTTTAGAATATCATTAGGGGTTTGCATCTGTCTTCAGAGTAGAAAAGTTTTTATTAAACTCCTCTGCCATTTTCTGATTCCCTATTGTTATTTCTCAGACTCATTCTCTAAGAAGCCTATGTTCATTTAGGACTCTCTCTTCCTTTTTATATATGTAAGAAGCTCTTACTCTTTTTATATTACTTGCTAGCTTGCGCTCAGTTTATTTTCTCCCTATAATTTTTTTTTGGTCATCTTTTGTTGGTTTTTAAAACACTCCCAATATAGTTACCCTCAAGTTTACCGCTAAATTGTTGCCACATTACATTTTTTCTTTCAATTTGATACTATCCTTAACTTCCTTGTTGATATGTTAACTTGCCTCTGCCACAAACCCAGTGAGAGCCGGTCAAATTAATACTAACTCAGTGATGAAGCTTGAACTCGAGTGACTATATGGCCAATTTATTTCTGAAACGATGGTATGTCTTGAAACAATCATGATTTTGAGTTCCAAAACGGAGAAGGTTTGCAAATGAATATGAATGTTGTTCACATTTAATATATCAAGCAGTAACTGCAGTTCCTCTCTGCCAAATTCAGAAATGTGGTTCTTGACAATTGTAACTGTTTACTGTAACACCACTTCCTTCCTGAAGGAAACTGTGCAGTGAGGAAAGCAACTTTGTATTAAACTATATGAAGGAATTAACATTAACTGGATAATACCTGGTCGGCACAAGTTTCCATGTTGCTCTTTTTCACTAGCATATACATCCATACACCAAGCATGATAAGCAAAGGCAAAAAGGTCTTCTATCCTTGCAGGTGGTCGTATCACATTGTTCATACGTTTTACCCACTCTTGACATTGTTCAAAAGTAGAAAACTGACACCTATTTATTTTTTGTTTTAAAAAAATGTGAATGAAATAGGTTAAGACTTTTACAGCAACTGTTAAAAAAAAGTTACAAATAAAATTTAATGTTCACTTTTGTGTAGCCACCCATTTTTAACATTCTTTGTTGCTGGATATGCTCATTGAAAGGAACAATGTTGGTAGATCTAATGTCGGTTCAGCTTTCACTCGATCAAATCACACTGACCTTTGAACCAGAAGGATCAAGACTCATTCCAGGCATTTGAACATATAAGCTAGGTCAACAAGTCAGTACAACAGTGAGGGAGAGCTAAACTAAAAGAAAGTGTACCTCCAGTGGTTAAGATAAATTGTTGAAAAATGTGGTCAGTATGATTCATTGTTCAGCATAAGAGATCCCTTGACATCAACCTAAGTGAAAGATCACGGCTTTCTTGACGTTCTGGTCAATTGTGGTTCGTGTGTGGAATGAACTGCCAGAGAATGTGGTTGATGTTGGTACAATTACAACATTTAAAAGACATTTGGATAGGTACATGAATAGGAAAGGTTTAGAGGGATATGGGCCGACCACAGGCAATGTGGGACTAGTTCAGTTTGTTAAACTTGGTGGGCATGGATGAGTTGGAACGTGATGATTCTATGACTCTATAATCAAGTATTAAAAGAGATGTACCTGCTAATAAATCTCACTGCTGTTGGTGGAACCTTGCTTGTGCAAACTGTCACATTTCTCTACACTACAACAGTAATTACGTTCAAATGGTTCATTGGCTACTTAACACATTGGCCTGATGCAAAAGTGTTGACATATGCTTCATACTTCTTTTAAAATCTAAATTGAATTATATGAAGGATAAAATATATTTTGTAAATCCTCCTGATTCCTTCGTAGGAGTAACTATTTTAGGTTACTACATTTACCCAATACAAATTAGTCTCCCATTGCATTGAACACCACGTTCTAAGATCACGTACAGTGCTAAGATCATGAGGCTAAGGACCAGGAGATAATCTGATTAAGCTCATAGCCTTACTGGAGTAAAGACATATATTCTTGTGTTTTATATAAAATTTGGAAGAGAGAGTTAACCTCTGTTTAAGTTTCTCTGCAGCAACTGCACAAAGCATATATAAACACAGTGTGCTCGATAGAAAATTACAGGTATAGCATCACAATTCAAAATAAGTAGATTATAGTGCAATAAATTTAGATGGGCAATTTCATTACAATGGAATGCAAATAAATTACAATGGGAAAAGTTGATGCCAAAATTATATTACTGTTACACAAAATGATGGCTGCTTTTGCTAAAAGGAAGTGCATGTTGACAGAATCATAGAAATCTACAGCACAGGAAAAGGTCTTTTGGCCCATCACTTCCATGCCAGTCAAAAACCACCACCTAACTATTCTAATTTTATTTTTCAGCATTCGGCCCATTGCCTCGTATGCCTTGGCATCACAAGTGCATATCTAAAATACTTCTTAAATGTTACGAGGGTTTCTGCCTCTACTACCCTTAGAGTTCCAAATTTCTACCAAGCTCTGGTGGAAAGGTTTTTCCCCACATCGCCTCTAGATATCCTGACCTTTACCTCAAGTCTATGCTTCCTGGTCATTAATCTCTCCAGTATATCTCTTCATAACAAACAAACTCTCCATCTGGACTTCTAAATTATTATGGATTGGGCTGAATAGCTGATTCTGCTGAAAATCTACACTTAAATCAGACACTTATTAAGCAGGTTCAGCAAACTTCCAAAACACTAAGACAATTACACTAAAAAACTGGCCATCAGCACAATGTACCCATTTATCCCTAATTTAATAATAGAATACAGGTTCACACTGGTTAATTCCCATGTGACAAATTCAAACCACTATGCTGTCAAATCAGCAAAGGCATAGCACAGAATAATTGCGTGCCAGCATGCTGTTTAATTGTGTATGTCAGGGCAGCAAGGAGAAGGAACAGATCAAAAGATATCATTCCAAGATTTTAAAAATTTTGTTCAATTTAGTAAGTATTTCAGTTACAGTCACAGAATGACAGAATTGTTTTGGGACAGAGAACGCCCAATCGTTCCACTGTCTCTGTACCGATTTAATGCTTTTTTACCAATCTCTGTAACCCCGTGTTTCCATTTAAATAATCATTTCATGCCCTCTTGAATGCCTCAAATTGAGCCAGCCTTCACCTCTCTCCCAGGTAGTATATTGCAGGCTTGAACATCTCAGTGTGCGAGTATTTTTCTCTAACATTGCATTTATTTCCTTTGCAAATCACCTTAAATCTGTTTTTAAACCTTTTACAAGTGGGAACAGTTTCTCCAATCTACTCTGTCCAGGCCTCTTAGGAATTTGAAAACTTCAATCAAATCTCCTCTTAGCCTTCTCCTCTCCAAGGGAAACAATCCCAACTTCTCCAATTTATCTGTATAACTGAAGTTTCTCATCCCTGGAACAATTCCTGTAAATCTCTTCTACACTCTTTCTATACCCTTGCATCATTTTAAAAAATATGGCAGCCAGAATTATAAACAATACTCCAGGATAGGCCTAACTAATATCTTACACAGATTCAGCATAACATCCCTCGTCTTGGGCGGTATGCTTCATTATCTGCTCTTTCCACAGTCCTGCCAACTTAACTGACATATGCATCGGTATATCCAGTCATATTAAGTCAATTAAACACTCATGGCATTCTCATTTTAACTAATTTAGGTCCAATTATCCCAACATTTGTGTGATTAGTTTGCATATTTTATAGATAGAAACTTTCAAAACGTGTCAGTGAGTAACTGCAAATAACTGTAAATGCCTATTTTTTCCATTACTGCGGCATTAACTAAAAAGGAAAAAGTTTAATCTAAAAGGCACCTAGCATTCTAAAAGTCTAAAAACAACTGGAAACATCTATAATCTAAAATTACGTACCTGATAACTTTGCAGTCTTTACAAGTCAAATGAAGTTGGAACATCTCACGACATTCAATACTTTCAATCAGCTGCAAAGGAACCTGTCAAAAGCGTCAGATAAAAAAAAGTTATTTAACAATATTCTATGTTAACATAAATCCTTTAAAAGGTAACCTGCTGCAGATAGGCAAACTTTATGCTCCAGTAGATCCGTTGGTAATGGACAACTCAAAAACGAAAATCCTGAAATATACTCACACCAGCCAGATTATTAATAAACTGTTGTTTTCCATCTGCAAAATGGTGGTAATTGTATAGCCTTACTGTTTTTAAGGCGCCTTAAGAATTTCACTATATTGATCTTGACACAAAATTTTTAACATGAAGCTTTAAACATTTTTTCCATGTTCAGGCCTCAAATTCTGGTTTGGATTCTTTTAGCTATCAATGTTATTTCTGTCACAAAAACAGCATCTGTGCTTACACTGGAAATGATCGATCAGAAATCAATTCCTAAATCCACATCTAAAATGGAAATTACAATACAAGTAAAAATTTTTATATTATAATAGAACATCTAAGAATGGAATATATGACTCCACAAAACAGATTCTTGGTTTTGTTTGGTCTAATTATCCTCTGTTTTCTGAGGCTGCCTCTTGTCATGATCCCTCGTGCAATAACAAAGATGGATTGGATTAGTATTAGCTATTTACGTGGCACAGAAGTTGCAGACAGCACCAAGGGGTAGGGGGAAGAGAATCAACATGCCTCAGCACACTTGGGCTCAGATGGTAGAGAATAGTGCTGAAATATCCCATGGCAAGATGAGCACTCACTGGTAAATGTTAATCCTGTCCAAACTCTCCATACAAAGAGTCTGACTGATACACAATTTGACAGAATCTAACTAGAAGAGGTTGTATTTGTCAATTCATCATATACAAGATTAAACAAACGGCTAGTCATGCCCCAGCCTACTGAAAATTAATGTGCAATGCTGTAATAGTGACACCTGTTACTCCTTGCTTGACAGCATGATAATAGTGTATAAAAGAAAATTCCAGAACACCCATTATTCACAATTGTTTCAGAGTTGTCACTGTAACAGCCATTTCCTTTCACAAACCATGAGCAACACCTCAAGAAATTGACTAGTATGGGTAAAATGTTCCAAGATCTGTATTATATTTCAGGTGCTCCAACAGTCCACATTTAAACAAGGAGAAAGCTAATTTTGTCTAATAGATGGAGAAACATCAAGCAGCAAGTGAAAATGGTACTCAGTAGAGTACATGTCGCATTAACTACATTATTTTTACTTTTTGGTCATTCTTTTATGGGATATAGGTGTCACTGGCTGGGCCAATGATTAAACCCCATCCCTATTTGCCCTGGAGAAGATGATGAGCTGCCACACACTACTCAGGATCAACTTGGGGGTGAAAGTAACTCCAACCACTAACATCTCCTTAAATTCCTTGACTGTATTCTCAACCCTCCCATGCAACAAATGTAGAGAGGTCATGCTTTGCAACTAAATTGGAGACCAAAACCAAACTGTTGGAGAATCTCAGCAGATATGGGAGTATCTGTAGAGTGGGAAACAGAATTAACATTGAGCACAGGATGATTCTTCAGAACTGTTTAATCTTCTTACTGAATTCCTCCATTGAGTTCCTTACCCATTAAATACTAAACCACCAACACGACTTTGATACAAAAGCATTACATTTCCAAGGATGCAATTACACTATAATAATAGTGTCAGTTGCAATGGTTTCAGCACAACTATTCTGTACATATACTATGAATCCAACTTCAAGGCCCATTAGACTGAAACTAAATCTAAGTTTAATGCTGGTGTGAACCGGATTCCATTTGCATCAGTACCAATTGTTTAGTGTTGACACTTCAAAAAAAAAAACATGCTGAAATATGTCCTCTTGCTTATCACTGCAGTGGAGCATTTTGCTGCTCCTTCCCAAGAGTTCCAATAAGGCTAAAAACAGGCACCAATGCACCGTCATTAATATCGTCAGTTCATGAGTCAGGCATTACGTTTAGAATCAAATGTCAGATTAACACAAAAGTGGTTTATAACAATGATGTTCAGAAATGTATTTAAAGTAGATTAAGTTGCATATGTTCTCCACCCTCATGTTCAAAAATATCTTGCCTCAGATTCTGCAAACATCATACTCAGCAGATGCTCAAGGCAAATCAAATTTCTCAGGTGTGAGTGAAATTTCATTGGAACACCACGTAGGTAGAGGATAGAGATGTCAGCTGGAAAAAAATGGGGGAAGAGAGGCCTCTGGAAACTCAAGGCCTTCTTGTTGATTGAACAGCAGTGTTCTGCAAAATGATCATCTAATCTGTGTTTGACTTCCCTCCGCATGGCAAGCAGTAAACACATCGCATTAAATTTAATAAGTAAACAAACATTGCAATTTCATCCCAAAGGAAGATTTAGAACTTTGGTGTTGATCAGGAAAGCGGTAAAGACAAATGCTGCACTTCCTGCGTTTTCATGGAAAAGTGCTACGAGAAGGGGATGTGGTGTCAGATTTGAACACCATGATGTGCAGAGGCAGGTGTTGGGCTGGGGTGGACAAAGTCAGAAGTCACACGACATCAAGTTATAGTCCAACAGGTTTATTGTTTAAACTCCAAATAAACCTGTTGAATGACCACCAAGAGTGGCTTGGCAGCAGTACTACAGATTGGGCTGGTCAGCTCCTAAAGAACATAGCTGCTGGACTGGGTCTGTGACAGGTGGTGAGGAAACGAACAAGAGGGAAAAACATACTTGACCTCATCTTTACCAATATGCCAGCTGCAGTTGCATCTGTCCATGACAGTATTGGTAAGAGTGACCATCGCACAGTTCTTGCGGAGGCAAAGTCCCACCTTCACACTGAGAATAACTTCCATTGTGTTGTGTGGCACTATCACCATGCTAAATGGGACAGCCTTCGCACAGATCTAGCAAATTCAAGACTGGGCATCCATGCGGTACTCCAGCACAATCTGTAACCTCATGGCCTGACATAATCCCCACTCAACCACTACCATCAAGCCAGGGGATCAACCCCGGTTCAATGGAGAGTGCAGGAGGGCATGCCAGGAGCAGCACCAGGCATACCTGAAAATGAGGTATCAATCTAGTGAAGCCACCAAACAGGACTACTTGCACACCAAACAGTGAAAGCAGTGAGTGATAGACAGAGCTAAGTGATCCCACAACCAACAGATCAGATCTAAGCTCTGCAGTCCTGCCACATCCAGTCGTGAATGGTGGTGGACACTTAAACAACTCACTGGAGGAGGCGGCTCCACAAATATCCCCATCCTCAATGGGGGAAGAGCCCAGCACGTCAGTGCAAAAGATGAGGCTGAAGCATTCGCAGCAATCTTGAGCCAGAAGATTGGATGATTCATCTTGGCCTCATCCAGTGGTCCCCAGCATTACAGATACCAGTCTTCAGCCAATTTGATTCACTCCATGCGATATCAAGAAATGGTTGGAGACACTGGATACTGCAAAGGCTACGGGCCCTGACAACATTCCAGCAATAGTACTCAAGAGTTGTGCTCCAGTACCTGCTGCTCCCCTAGCCAAGCTGTTCCAGTGCAGTTACAACACTGGTATCTACCCGGCAATGTGGAAAATTGCTCAAGTATGTCCTGTATACAAAAAGCATGATAAATCCAACCTGGCCAATTACCGCCCCATCAGTCTACTCTCGGTCATCAGTAAAGTGATGGAAGGTGTCATCAATAGTGCTATCAAGCAGCACCTACTCAGAGATAATCTGCTCAGTGATGCCCAGTTCAGGTTCCACCAGGGCCACTCAGCTCCTGACTTCATTGCAGCCTTGGTTCAAACATGGACAAAAGAGCTGAATTCCAGAGGTGAGGTGAAAATGACAGCCCTTGACATCAAGGCTACATTTGATTGAGTGCAGCATCAAGGAACCCTAGCAAAACTGGAATCAATGGTTATCAGGAGGCAAACTCTCCAGCAGTTGGAGTCATTATCTGACACATAGGAAGATGGTTGTGGTTACTGGAGGTCAATCATCTCAGCTCCAGGGCATCTCTGCAGGAGTTCCTCAGGATAGTGTCCTTGGCCCAACAATCTTCAGCTGCTTCATCAATGATCGTCCCTCCATTATAAGGCCAGAAGTGGGGATGTTCGCCGATGATTGCACAATAGTCAGCACCATTCGTGACTCCTCAGATACTGAAGTAGTCCGTGTTCAAATACAACCAGATCTGGACAATTTCCAGGCTTGGGCTGACAAGTGGCAAGTGACATTTGCACCGCACAAATGCCAGCTTATGTCCATCCCAACAAGAGACAATCTAACCACCACACCTCGACATTCAGAGATAGTAGGAACTGCAGATGCTGGAGAATCTGAGATAACAAGGAGTAGAGCTGGATGAACACAGCAGGCCAAGCAGCATCAGAGGAGCAGGAAGGCTGATGTTTCCAGCCTAGACCCTTCTTCAGAAAATTTTCTGAATTTTCTGCTCCTCTGATGCTGCTTGGCCTGCTGTGTTCATCCAGCTCTACA